CAAATTTCAGCTCAAAATTCGATCGGGAAGGTCGTCAAATGATTTTTGCAAGTTAACTGGTCCGGAATATGTATTTTCCGGACCAGTTAACTTGCAAAAATCATTTGACGACTTTCCCGATCGAATTTTGAGCTGAAATTTGGTATGGACAAACTAGACTTGATGAGGAACATGCTCAAAAAATTTCATCAAAAAATTCCACCGGGAAGGTGCCCAAACGGGCTCGGCCGGACGGGGCAGCCCGTCAGGCCGGCCTGATGAGACGATTTCTCTCTCTCTCTCTCTCTCTCTCTCTCTCGCTCTCTCTCTCTCTCTCTCTATATATATATATATATATATATATATATATATATATATATATATATATATATATTAAATAGAAGTGTACTACTCATCTTATAATAGTATACTTATATATTATATATTAGTATACAATATATTATATATTAGTTACACTTTAATTAATAGTAATTAAATTCATCCTATTACTTATACACTCACACTCCCATTAATTAGTATACACATTCATACATTTTTTGTATTATTTACATTTTTAATAAATATTATTAGTTAAGTAGTTAATTGTTACATTTGTCATTAAATTATAAAACTAGTTAATTGCTACATTTGTCATTAAATTAGAGCTAGTTAATTGCTACATTTTTCATTAAATTACAAAACTAGTTAATTGTTACATTTGTCATTAAATTATAAAAATATTTATTTGTTACATTTTTCATTAAAGTATAAAACTAGTTAATTGTTACATTTGTCATTAAATTACTTGCTAGAGTATTAATTAATAGAGTATTAATTAAAATAGTTCGAATTTTAATTAAAATAGTTTTAATTGCTTGCTAGAATATTTTTATACTAGAGTAGTTCGAAACTTCGAACTTTATACTCCGTACTAATTAAAATAGTTCCAATTTTATACTAGCTAATTAAAGAAGCTAGAATATTAAAATAGTTCTAATTTTATAGTAATTAAAATAGTATAAAAAAGTAGTTTAAATTTTTATTTCAAAAAACAAAAGTAGTTCGAATTACTTGCTAGATTATTAATTAAAATAGTTTTAATTACTTGCTATCCTAGAATATTTTTATTTCACTTGTTAGAGTATTAATTAAAATAATTTTAATTACTTGCATTACTTTTGGTACTCATATTAATATATTTGTTGTTATTTAATATTTGTTTCATTTTTTAAGATGCAACGTGGTAGACATTCGGTTGATATGAGTAACCTCAGTCAAAACCGAAAGAAGGAGATTGGGAAGAATCATCCTCATTCGCGCAAAGGTAAAGGACATATCGGGTCTTCTTCTCAAAGCCGAGATGATTTTGAAACGGATTACCAACGGAGATATAGGTATGCGATGTCCCATGAGCAACTACAACACCTATTGGAGCAACATAATGGGCGCTTATCCAACAACAAGACATCCTAACCATTGACCAAGAAGAGCTCGAGGATGATGATGCCGAGGAGGACGATCCGACGATGAGGGTCACGGCGCTCCGGATGATGAGGAAGACATTGAGGACGAGGCTGGTTCATCCCAAACGGGTAAGAAAACTAAATCTCTCATGACGAAAAATAATTTAAAAAAAAAAGAAAGAAAGACAAAGCAACCGAGATATGGTACGCAACTTGCAACCATTGCGCTAAAGAGTATAACTTGGGAATTTCACAAGGATACGGGAGCGCAAGAAGGCATCTTAAGGCCGCGCACCCCCTGGAGTATGTGAAAATAGCGCCGCAAGGCATGGGGAAGCAAACTCAAATATCGAGGTTTGCAAATGGCCAACCCTTTGATAATTTCTCATATGATGACTCCAAACATTTGAGTGGTATGTCTAACTTAATTATTGAAGAAAGTTTGCCTTATCTTTTTTATGAAAGTCTTGCTTTAAGAGAATATGTTCATGGTACGTAGTTTAATTCCTCAATTTAGAAATTATAGTCGCAAAATGATTTTAAAAAAATTATAAGGCTTTATAATGCAGATAAAGCAAGATTACAAAATTTTTCGCAAACTTTAATGGGCGTGTTAGTATTTGTAGTGACATATGGGAGGATACGTATCATCATTTATATTATTTGGGTCTGACTGCACATTATATTGATGATGATTGGAAAATGCATAAACATGTTCTTGTTTTTCGTGAATTTAATGATCGACACACTGCTGATAATATTATCTTCTCATTGAGCATATTTTAATTGAGTATAATTTGATTGATAAGGTGTTTGATGTGGGTTTTTGTCACGCCCCGGACCTACCCGGACACGTCAACAACCCGCCGTACAATACGAATAGTCAACCAAAGTCAAACACATCCATATTATACAAAGCGTCTCGAATATCATTCACACATAAGTCATCCATAAACATACATAATAAGCAATTCAATACGCAACGGAAAACATAGTTTGAAATCAATGCCACATGGGGCAAACACGAGCACGCAGACTATAAAGTAAAATATCTATGAACAAATTTATTAATGTTTCAAACAGAATGGAGGAAGCACGAACCAAGTCTTCTCTCCGAGAAATCACTTGATCAACGAGCATAGGATGCAAGCTCTAGCCTCAACCTGAAATGGTGGTGGGACGCCCCCGAAGGGGTCAGTACTCTATAGGGCTATAAAGTACTGGTGTGGATGGCATCTAATAGATATACAACAAGTATTTCAAACACAAGACCCTCAAATAGGGTGATAGTACAATATGGTTGTAACCGTAAGTTACCCCGTTTGAAAATATACTTTATATAAAAGTCAAGTAGAGTATAAGCCACGACAACTCATAGAGTCCAACCCTAATACATGACATTGTATTCTAGAGCTCGACTCTATCACATCACCATACAATTCATGTCACTTGGGTCAATTTCCCTACTTTGCGTTCTAGAGCTCGGCTCTATTACATCACCGTGCAAGCCCTAGAGCTCGGCTCTAGTTATACAATACATAGACTACAAGTCTACCACCTTATCATTCATCCTAGAGCTCGGCTCTATTACATCACCATGCACTAAAGCCCAATTCCTAAACAAACCTATGCCTAGAATTGTCATATCAATAAACTACCTTGGGTCATCCTTAAAGACTGCTCATGACTTAACCTTAGCTTCATACTAAGTCATTATATACACTTGAAGTACATTCAAGTGTATTGCATACAATCCAATCCTTAGGATCAATTCTATCAACAATTTCCAATAATCACTAATTAGTATTTCAATACTATTTAGATTGTTGTTATCATACAAATATTCTCATTTTGAAATTCTCTACATATTTATACGTATGTAGCAGCAACTTAAGTATTCAATCTCAATACATAAATATTCATTTATGTATCCACATAATTCATAAATGAGTAAAATGCATATTTCACAAAATAGTTCATTTATAACTCATTTAATCTCATATTATTCATACAACCTCAAATCATTTCCAATTTCATTCTTTGGCAACTATATCAATATTTCATCAATATTTCATCAATATTTAATCATCATAATCCATGAAAAATTATGATTTAGGCATTTAGGTAATCTCATGCTTAACCTACAAGTTGTAAGCAATTATATGTCGATCATCACCTTAATTGAGCTTTAAACCTTTCCTTCTTGATTCAATGGTCAAAGATTCGGTCAAGGTGGATTAAGAACTGTTTCCTTGCTTAGAAATGAGTGTTAAACAGCCTCCTCAATGTGCTAGTTCAACCCCTAACCGTTGATACGAAAACAGCCCCTAGAATGGGTGTTTTCCGGCGAACTCGTTTCCTAGTTTTTCCGAGGTTTGCTCTAGGTTAGTATCTAACCTTTAAATCAATAAAATAATCTTATGAGGACATATTATACACTTGGAATAGTGTATAATAGTTCCACAAACCTTCATATCATATGGAAAATGAAAAAGAAGGGTTTGGGTTCAAACTCACTTTCAAGAGGTAAAATCGTTTCTGCGAGGTTGGGTTTTCCTTCGATGATTTGAAAGCCTTACACTACTCCTCTTGCTGCAAGCCAGACCGTCACAGATTCCTAGTCTTGAGAGCTTTCTTTTGGTATCTCACACGCCCTATTTGGTTGAGTATTGCTCGAGATATGAAGCAAACAAGTAACCTTACGCACTGGAAATTTACCCTGCGGACAGCTTGCTCTCTCCTTTGCTTTCTTGGTTATGTGGCTCTCTCCTTCTCTCTTATCTTTGGGAGTGCGAATGGGGGTTGTAGGAGTGTTATCTTGTCCCTCACCTAGCCTCAAAGGTCAATGGGTAAGAGTGGGTTGGCATGTGAGATGATGGAGCAAGATACTTTCAATCAAAATGGGGAGAGGGTCCATTTGGTTCCCAAATAATGTCTTGTTCAACCCCCCTCTCTTTTTGTCCGCCCCAAACATGAATTTTAACTCATTCTCTTCATTTTTCAGGTTCCATGCAGGTGTGGGGTAGTCTCCAAGTGATCCCAATTAATTTGGGGTTCAAAATATCTACTAATACTTCCAAAAATGGGAAGATGAGTCCTATTGTTTTATCTTTTGTCAAAAGATGTCTTTTCGTACTCATTCTAATTTATTTAGAACAAGTCAACTTCCTACATCATATTATTGATCTCCAATATGTGTAGGATCATACCAATAATTTACGTGATGGAAATAATAGAAGAAAACCTTACTCCTACTATTTAGCTCAATAATGTCAAAGATAGGAGCATAGATGTTTGTATTCTTCCCTAATCATCCTATCACTTATTTTGACATTATCATTCATATTACTAGATTTTCACCCGCGCGATGCGCGGGCTATTTATAAAATATAGTGATACGACAAACTACATAACTTATAAAAAATTTACCAAAAACTACATAACCTTGAAATCTTTTAGGTCTGCAGAGTTGAAGTATCACAAAAACGGGCACCCCTTCATTTTCCTTAATATAATCTTGATATTGGCTAATGTACTTATTCCATAAGACACAGCCTAGTCGGTTACCCCTGTTGTTTAAGGCCCATTAGTATTATACAAATATGCCACAAACGCCATAAGGGTTTTTAAAACGCCCAAAACTTACTCTGGGTCCGCCAAAGTTAGTTCCATATGCCTGTCTGTCTTACCGCTGGAAATGTGGGTCTGGACAACGCCCTTCCCGATCACCTTCCCGATAATATCTAAAACAGTGCAGTAAATACAAAGTGTTAGATCAGTTTGCCAAAATATTTTGAACAGTTGATTGTCTTAGTTTACCCACCAATGAGACTTTTGTCATTCACAACCCTTTGTGCGTGTAACATATCAAAAGGTTGGAAATCATAAACCATCATAGGCAGCACTGTCTTGGTATCCCTTATGAACTGAGTTTTAGAGATGAACTGAATTAGGTAAGGATGATCTGTGGTCTTCACTGTTTGGTAGTTGTCCAGCACTAAAAAATTTCTTATTGCATAGATGTTGTTTTCGGTTATCACAGGCCTGTACATTGCAATTTGTGGCCTCTTGATTATTGCATGAATTCGATCACCCTGTTTCACGCAAACAAAAGTAACATTAATAATTAAAGTTTTTAAAACCTACATAGTTGTGTGTTCAAAATAATATGTTCTACCTCAGCATCGTGCAAAACCATCTCTAGTGTTTCCCCTCCTTTCGAGTGAGGGGGAACTTCATATGCCCTTACCACTCTAACCTTTAGAGCCCAGGTTGTTTTGGTATGATCAATGTCCTTGATTAAAGACCACATCCCTGTCATTGTTCAATTTTCTTGATTGCTGCACGAAAACAAAATTGATGTTGCTTGGTGTGGTGTTTCGATCATCCCTGTGTGGTTATTTATAGGAGCTGGTGGGAGCATAATGTTAAGCAGTCTGGGTATTAACCAATGGTTAAACCCAGTCAATCTTACTTTGAGATCTTGTTGTACACAACGCATTTATTATTTTGTAGGCTCAAGAAATGTTATGGGTAACTTCATTTTGATTTGGAGGATGGAGGACGGCTAATTAAATGCTGCATTTAATGTTCTTAAGGCTCTAGGCTGCATAAGGATTTCATTTTTGATCTATAAGGTTTAAAGTACAACTAAAACCTTTTTTATATTCATAAACGGGACACTGTATTTATTGTTTGTGAGGCTCGAGATTTTATTAAGATTTTATTTATGATCTATAACTTTAAAAGTACCACCAAAACAATTGTTTATTTCGTAAAAGTACACTGCATTAATTGTTTGTGAGGCTCGAGATTGGCATTGTGTGGCTCCATTGTTCTTAAATTATTTTTTAATTCTAAAAGATGGCTGTATCAACTGATCCGGCTTGAGCCAGACAGTTGTAATATTAAATGCTGTTAACTGAGAACTGGGCCTCTACATCGACCCGTCTCTGCACCCATCTCAAACTTGACCCGGCCCATCAGTGTACAGTGTTTGGGCGGGAACACTGTACACTTTTTCCACTTGCTTTTGTATAATAGAAGATTGTACTACTAGCCGTGTGGTTACCCTCAAGTGGGCTTAGAACTCCACTCTTGAATACTTACTATTTTTAGCAGGTTGGGGCTAAAATAATGTTTGGGATGTCCAACCTTCAATAACTTGTCTTGAAAGGTTATGTAACATTATTTACAAAACATTGGGCTCTTATATCTAATAAGATGGCCCAATTAAATAGTGAAAGCCCATCGCTAATATACGAGCTCAAACGGTAAAATGATCAAACATGCATTACATAAAACATTAATCGTTTTACACTCGTTTGACAATAGGAAGTTCAATACATAAACTTTGAATTTTAAATTGAATTCCAAGGACGTTTGGGTGCGGTGTCACAATTTTGATAATGCTAGTAATAATACTGCTGCTATACCTAGATTGTGTGAATTATGTGGTTCTACTACTTTGATGGGTAGGTTTTTTCATCAACGATGTGCATGCCATATTCTTAATTTATGTGTTCAAGACGGTCTAACCGCGTTAGGACAGGCTATGGAGGTAGTCAAGGGGGGAATTAGACGTATTTGGGCTAGTGGTCAACTTAAATTACAATCGCAAAATTATTTGATAGAAAGACATGTCAAATATTGTGCTGTTACTAAAAATTTGTCTATTCGCTGGAATAGTACTTATAAGTTAATTAAAGTACTTGTTAGATTTAAAGAACATTTTCCTGCTTTTTTAAAAGAATATGCTAACTATATTATAAACCCAGCTGACATCGACACTTGCAAAAAAATTGTGAATGTTTTGGTTTTTTTAATGCAACTAAAACTTTTAGTCGTGTTTATAAACCTACTCCAAACCAATTTTTTCGTGAAACTGTTAATCTCGCCAGTGCTTTTAAAGAATTTTCGAACGCCCCTTAGGTTAATTATTTTTGTAAATTTATGAAGGAAAAGTTTTTAAAATATTATTATGCACATATTCCGCATATTTATGGTATTACATTTATTCTTGATCCTCGTTATAAACTTGGTACTTTGCAAGAATGTTTAGACTTCTATTATGCTTCTTTTTTTGGTGAATTCTCTATGTATGACGATAACCCCATAGATCCTAAACAAGAATACAACGAGGTTAGTAATTTATTTTATCAATTATTTAATGAGTTTCATGCACAATATGGCAACGCACCCCCTCTCCCGACACGAACATCTTCATCTGAAGAAAAATCACTTTTTAAATCTGCATTTGGCAATCTTATGAAAAAACAAACTCCTGGTGTTGAACAAAGCTCATTTAACGAGCTTTCTTTGTATTTAACATATCCTGTTGATTTTTAAGAAGGTGATGACTTTGACGTTCTAAAATGGTGGAAGGAAAAAGAAAGAATGTTCCTGGTTTTATCAAAGATGGCTAAGCAAGTGCTATCGATGCCGGTTTCAACAGTTGTCGTGGAACAAGAATTTAGTTCGGCCGGCAACATCCTAACGGAGTCTAGAACGAGATTGACCGCAAGCTCTCTTAAGACACTTGTATGCTACCACGATTGGTTGAAGGCCCAACGTAGGACTCAAGAACTTAACATCACCCCCACGCAACACTTTATGGATGAATCAACTGAGGGTGGCTTTAACTCTAGCGAAGATTCCAATTGATTAGTATTTTACTATTTATCACAAAATATATTTCATGTTTTAAATTTTTCCTCAATTCTCAATTGTAGACTTGTAGTTCATATTTCAATTAAATATATGTTCATTTTTTATATGTAGCACTTCTCAAATTAATTTATTATTTAAAAAAAAACTAATTGACCCGACCCGGCCCGCTGCCTAGGCGGGTGGCCCGGACCAGACCGGCACCGGCCAACATCCAGGCCGGTTCCGGGCCCCATAGAAAAAATTTTAGGCCCGGCTGGGCCGAGACCCGACCCTGACCCGGTCCATGGCTACCCCTCATACCTTAATGACCCTATCATCACTCAACAAACCATATTCTGCCATTGATCTCCACGAACGATGCAGCCAGTGACAGACATTGAAATACTAATCAGGAAGAGTAAAGGATTAGACAGAACATGCATAGTATACGAAAAAAAAGGTAACAGTTTTCTTTTTTTAATTTAACAGCATAAATATTATGTAGCAACAATTATTACATGTTCAAGGTTACTTCCAAATTCCAATACAATACTACGATAAGTAAAATTCACCATTTTGTTAAACGTTCTCTTAGCACACACCGAATAGACACGAGGGGAACACACATTATTCGACAACTTTAAGGCCAGCCTAAGGTACTGAGTATTTTATGTTACACTAAAGAAAGGGCACCCCAGCATAGTTAATTTATCTGTTAATGACAAACTTTGCCACTCTCCTCAAGAGCAGGAGAGAATTTCATCCATGGAGAGTGATCACTGCAGTCAACAGATTTCTTCAATCCCTTTGTATGTGTGGCTGCAAATTTCTCACCCCCAACCCTTTTTCTCTTCTTTTCTTTTATTAAAACACCAAACAACTTCAATGTCTCTTCCTTTTCGTCGTCATCATCATCATCCTCGTCCTCATCCTCACATGAATTTGTATCTGCTGAGATTGCTTGATTCATGATCGGTTCAGGTACAACCTTCACGTATTGAGATAGGAAAGCTGCCAGCTCATCACACTTCTTCTTGGTCTGAGCCAACTCAGAGCTAAGCATTTGGTTGTCTCTCTTAAGCCTCTCATTCTCATCCGTAAGTTCCAAGAACTGTTGTGATTTTCCAGGAGTTTCCACTGACCCAGGGTTCTTGGAGTCAGGTGATGAGGTGGAACTCGATCCTGGTGTCTCTTCGCCGGATGAGATCTCTGGCAATGGCGAGTTATCAGCTGCGGCGTCGTTCTTTTTTCCGGCGGCAGCTGATGTCACAGCTTTCCGACGCCGGATGTTGATGACCAGCTCTTTTTCTCCTCTTTTGAAATTCTCGTTTGCAAATTCCCATTTCTCGGGTATGGTCTTTCTGAACCCCTGAAGTACAACACATGAGGAGCATTTAGTTAGAGGGAACCACTCTAACTAACAACATCGCCCAAAAAGTGCCGCACTTGAGCACAAATAATGCTCCCTCTGTCCCATTTTGTTTACATTTTCACTATTTCCAAATTCTTCTCTGATTTTGTTTATTGAATTTTAAAATTTTCAAATTCAGCTTTTGTGGTTCAATAGAGCAGAAGTGTAGTTTTCAAATATCTAAGTTTTAATTATTAATACTAACTCAAATATTATTAAGGCTCATCTTTAATACCGGTCTACCACTTCAAGAGTCGAGACTCGTAATCTGAAGTAGCATGTTTGGTAGCTTATTTTCCTTCATCACAAGAATAAGCACAATAATAAGAATAAATAGCTCTTAACTCATTGTTTAAAATGGATTTTACAAATCCTTTTCCTTTCAGAGTATTCAACAGATTAAGCCTGGCAGCCATATCAGATGAACAAATCTTACCCAACATGATACATAAAACTCCAGTTTAATGATATGCATCCTACAACTTTCTATTACATATTCTGTAACTTTTCAGTTGGTTCATACGAAAGAAACAAATTATAGGGGAAAGAACTAAGAGAATTTGAGAAAACTTTGTTGTTTGGTGTCAAGAGAAATGGGGAGGAGAGAAATGAAAGTGGTGGGTCCTGCCTCCTTTTCATTTCTTCTCTTATGGAGAGAAAATGGAGAGATATTCATTCTCTATTTCAACCCACTTCTCTCTTACCAAACAAGATACAAAATCTACCCTATTTCTATGCGGATTCTCTTTTCTCCATCCCTTTCTCACCCATTTCAATCTTCATTATTTCTTCCCTAAACCAAACAAAGGTACTCAAATCCATGAGTGATTAGATAAAACGTATGCCAGGAGAGATTTAGCTAAATCTCTAACAGGCTAATATATACTCCGTCTTAAGATTTAACTAAACAAGGGTTTGATGGGATGGGACATTAACAACAATTGCTTACACCAAGCACCTACCTTAGGGTCTTTGTCTTAAGATGGGAATTAGTCATTTTTTAAGTTGAAAGTAATCCTTAATTCGTGCAGTGGAAATAGACTTTTCAACTCAATGCACTTGATAGAATGCCACACATCATGCTTGAATCAAACAATAGCATCATCTTATCACCAAAAAACAAATCAAGTCTAGTCATAAAAAAGAATCATGTTTGAAACTAATTGCAGAACATCAAGGACTAGTCATAATACCAGAAGTGATGAATCTATATTAAAAAAATTCTAAGATTGACTATCAAAGGAAAAATAAAATGCTGAGCAATCTGAAATAGATGGAATCAAGTGCTGAAAACATGAAGGACGGGTTT